AGATGAAGAAGAAGATGAGGACGATGATGATGATGAAAATTCAAGTGATGATCAATCTTCCTCCTCCACCTCCGACCTTGATGAAGAATCAATCAAATTAATCAACAAGGTGGAGAAGATGATTCAAAGGCTCAATGTCAAGGGTGTGCCCATCCAAATTCAAGATCTCATTTTCACAAATCAAAGAAATGAGCAAAGAAAGAGAGGATGCTATGGATGTGGCGAGTTGGGGCACTTTGTGGAAGTTTGTCCAAACAAGCCCACACCCAAGACAAAGAAGGCATGCAAGAACCAAGCCCTCACCTCAATAAGATCATGGGATGATTCTTCAAGTGAAGAAGAACACCATCACAAGAGGCGAGGCCGCAAGCACTCATCATCAAGCTCTTCTCGTGTGTGCCTTATGGCATGAGGTAATGAAAGCTCATCCTCTAGTGAGAGTGATAGTGATGATGATATGCCTTCTTATAATGAAATTGTGCAACAAAATCTTAATTATGCTAAAGTTTGCACTAGTCAACAAAAGAAAAATAAAAAATTAAAAGAAAAGTTAGCTAGCTCACAAGATGCTTATAAAAGTTTGCTTGCTAAGATGGAAACTATGTGCAAACATTGTGATGAGCTAACTAATAAAGTTGCTAACCTTAAAGCCGTTAGTTCAACCCCCACCAAGGCATCTAAAAAGAAAAGTTCTAACTTTAACATGTCTAAAAAGGATGCCTCTACTTCTTGCAATAATTTATGTTTAGACTCATCCTTGTGCAACCAAGTTTGTGTTGAGAAAATTGTTGTAGATACATGCACACAAGAGGTTGCAAAGGAGAATGAGCAACTCAAGCAAGAAGTAGCTCGCCTCACCAAGGACTTGACTCAAGTGAAGGGTAAGGCGAAGCAAGCCCAACTTCATCAAGATAACACCGTCAAGGGAGTGAAGAAGCTTGATGAAGGACAAACCATGGTTTGCTACATGTGCCACAAGGAAGGTCACAAGTCCTATGAGTGCAAGGTGAAGAATGGGGGAGGAGCAAACAAGAAAGAGAAAAACAAAAGGCAAACAAGCAAGCTCTCCAACACCTACACGAACAAGGTAGACAAGAAGGCCTCCACACCCTATCTCTTGAGGAAGAAGAAGAATGACAAGGTGGTGGCCATCAAGGTGAATAAGCAAGCCAACAATGGGGTCAAATGCTTTTGGGTGCCAAAGGAAATCATTTCAAATATGAAGAGCACCAAGAAGGTTTGGATTCCGAAAGGGAAGTGAGGAGTCCGTTTGGACTACGGGAATTTGGAGACTTGGCAAAGTAAGGGTGCATTTCATGGGGTGCATCATGATGGACAAAGTCATTGTCAAGTGGGTTAGTGAATACTATGGACCCAAATTCCCTTTCCCATGTTAAGTAACTAGATTCAATTTACTTCAATTGGTATTAGATTTAAATTTTCCTACAATTGGTATCTTTTAGCATCTAGTTACTCTTCATGCCTAGGTTTGCATTCGAATTCTTATATCTTTTGTCATGCATACACTAGGTATATCATATGGTAGGCTTGCTCGGTTTCATTCTTAACCCTTGGAGCAAACCTACATGGTTTAAAATTAGGAGCACGGCACATAGCTTGACTTGCAATTTTTCATCTAATATGTGCCAAAGTCCAAATTGTAGATAATCGTTTCTGAATATCATCTTCGAAAATGATTCTCACATTGTTGAGATGCCATCTTTTAAGTGGTATTTTGATTCTAAAATCAATGTGCATGATTCCTACAAGTATTCCACACTTGTGTGCATAAAATTTAGGGGGAGGTTAATCTACAAGTTGGATGCTTTGAGACTAATACCCTTTTCAAGTTTATCATGTGTGCAGTAGTCTCATTGCAAGGAAAATGGAGTCCCCGGAGTTAAGCATCACACTTCAAATATTCACCACTCATTGCAAGTGGTAGAAATCAAATTGGTTTCCACATATGGTATTTCTAAACCGATATCATCATGTTGATTTCATTTTGATATTTATATGCTTTCTCTATACATTATATAGATTAAATTCCCTTGAGCAAAAATTTGCCAATTATGCATATGCTTTGTCTTCTACCATATGTATGCACATATTTAGGGGGAGCTTAATCTATATAATGTAAGAGTCAAATTTTGTGACCTATTCCACTCTACACATAAAGGCTCACAAAGTTTGACCCTCCCTTATGCTACTAATGTCTTCCTTTTCGGTGGTTGATTTCAAAGGGGGAGAATTTAGAGGTCCAAAAGCAAGCATTAATAATTTACAAGTGGTAATGGTCCGAGAAAGGGAGGATAATGGATTATGGATTAGCCTATGTAATGGGGAGATTTTGTAGGAAGCAAGGCTTAAATCCATAATACCATACAGGGACATTTGCAAGGGCAAGATAAGTTTTTATATAGTCTTACAAGTAATATCTTTTAGCATCATATAATCTTGCTCCCCTTGCATTGCATCCTAGCAAGTAGGTAGTTTTTAAATTTCAAAATTTTATTATTTGCTTGCATTGGTCGTGTTGTCATCAATCACCAAAAAGGGGGAGATTGTAAGGAAAATGGACCCTAGGCCCATTTACTTTGGATTTTGGTGCTTGATGACCAACACAACCAAATTGGACTAATGAATTTGCAAGTGATTGTTTTGTAGTTCAATAGGATGCAAGACGTGACTTGGACAAAGGTGACGTGATGATCCGATGATCAACACCTCAAGCAAGACCTTAGGATCACAAGAGAAAACCCAAGATATCAAGCAAAGTCCAAGCACGAAGATAGAAACCAAGCCGTACGCAAGATCATGAAGAAACGAGCTCGCAGAAGTGACCGGACGCGCCGGTAAAGAAGCTCGGCAAACTGGCGTCAGCAGCAGCGACCGGACGCTGGACCGGACGCTGGCGGCAGATCGACCGGACACAGGACAGCAGAGTCCGGTCGAGTACAGAGAGGTTCTAGAGCGGCGAAACTGCGACCAGACGCGTCTGGTGGCAGGTGACTGGACGCTGGCAGCGTCCGATCAGTTGACCACGGCTCTCAAGGTCGGGACGACCGGACGCGTCCGATTAGGACGATTTCAGCGTCCGGTCAGTAGCAGAAAAGCCGGATTTCGTCCACAACGGCTACTTTCTCAGTGGGGCTTATAAATACAACCTCCAACCGGCCATTTGAGATGTGTGGAGCTGAGGAAACATATCAAGGGTGTTGATACACCATTTTAGTGATCTCCACTTGCATAGTGCTTAGTGATTTATTAGGTGATTAGCGTAGGTGCTTTGCGAAGTGCTTAGGTTGATTAGACCACTGCTTATGCGCTTGCTCTAGGTTTAGGCCTAGTATTTAGTGAGGTTTGCATACCTCTTACCACTCGCTGCTTGCGCGCACCATTGTTGTACATCGGAGGGGCTTGTAGTCTTGCGAGATCACACCAACCACGTTTGTGGTGTGGCCGCCACCATGTACCGGAGGGAACAAGGCCCGCGGCGTTTCGGCCGGAAGCTTGATAGTGAAGACAGCGGGGAGCATCCGGGAGAGGCTTGCCGGAAGGCACGTCGGAGACCCACTTGCGCGTGGGGAAGGCCCGAGGCTATCCACGAAGTTACCCGACCGGGAGCTTGGCCCTTGCGAGGGGCTCCAACGATGACTAGGGGGAAGCTTGCGCGCTTCTCGATACCTCGGTAAAAATACCGGAGTCGTCGACGGGAGTTTGTATATCTCTACCTTGCTCTTTAGCTTCCGTATTTACATTAATTACATTACTCCATTTGCGGTAGAGATAGCAACACATTAGCAAAACCGTAGTTGCACATTTAGATAGTTTATTTTTTGCATAGGTTTTGCTAAGGGTAGAAAAATAGGCCTTAGTTTTGAGTAGAAATTTTAAGTTGCCTAATTCACCCCCCCTCTTAGGCGTCACGGTCCCTTCACATGCTAATTCCCAACTACTCTTTCCGTTCTAAATTATAAGTTACTTTGACTTTTTTTTACATCAGATTTCCTACGTATCTAGACATATGTTATATCTAGATACATAGAAAATCCAATACACCAAAAAAGTCAAAGCAACTTATAATTTAGAATAGGTGTTTTATCAACTTATCTGTTGGCATGACTCCTTATTCATTACTGGTCATTGTCTCCCAAACACAGCCTGGATTCATGCATAAGTGAGCTAAAAGTGGACTAAAAGACAAGATCATATAGTAGAGTGGAGGCAAAGAGAAACAACCAGCTTATTTATTCAGTGAGCTAAATAGTAGAACCAAAGGTTGCAATGGTGGTGGAGTATAAGTTAATTAGTGCGGATTTGGTGAGCACATGCCATGGATATAAACATACATTTTAAAATTTTGAATCATAAATAAACCATGAGCATACATATACCTTGATCACTTGAAAGGTTCATGTTCAAACTAAATTCAAATCCATCTACAAAGCCACAAGATCACGGCTGCTGCAAAAGGAAATTCCAAAGTCCCACTACGCTAAGTCAAGTTTTACAATGAATAAATATCAATTTTAAAAATAGCTGATTTGTATGTTTTGTCTTTGACTTAACACACTGCCATATATATGCCTCCTTATTAACATCACTTCAATCGCTAATAATAAGCACACCATTCATTCGGTTGGTGGAAAATACAACTTGCACTAATGAATGAAATGAGTTGTGCTAACAAAATAAATAAGTAAATAATTGAGTTGGATAGTTTTTTTTTCATTGACTGGCGCATTTTGAGTCTGATATTATATTCTTCCAAAAGAATTTCCATTATATATTTGATATTTCCATGGAGGTCATTCCTTCTATATATGTACATGTAATGACCATTCATTATTCCTTGGTTGATTCCCTCGCCACAGTCGCCCTATATATGTGTGCCGAATCACAAGGCCCAATGCCAATCCAACAAAGGAGCTATCAAAGTATCAAGTCTTATCTACTCGTCCACAAATCCACCAGCATCATTTCCAGTATCGACAGCCATGGTTAGCGCATTGCTTATGGTGTTTACCGCCGTCGTTGCTCTCGCCGCCGGTCATGGCGCCGCCTTCGACCCTAACCCTCTCCAAGACTTCTGCGTCGCCGACTCTACATCCAAAGGTTTGATCGATCCATCCCATGTTTTAGCACTCATTACTTGTTAATGACAACGATTGAATGTCTGCACGCATGCAATGCAGCGCGCGTGAACGGGGTCCCGTGCAAGGACCCGGCGACCGACCGTGACCCCGGACGACTTCTTCTTCGCCGGAGTGGACCACCCAGGCGGCACGGCGAGCCGTCGGTGCGGGTTCACGGCGCTGCCCGTGCAGATCCCGGGCCTGAACACGCTGGGAGGGTCGCACGCGCGCGTCGACGTCGCGCCGGGGGCGGTGTTCCCCGCCGCACTACCACCCGCGGGCGTCGGAGATGGCCTGGACGGTGCCGTCTACTTCGGCTTCATCACGTCGTACCCGGACAACAAGCTCTTCGCCAAGGTGCTGCGCAGGGGCGACGTCTTCGCCGTGCCGGAGGGCCTCGTCCACTTCCTCTACAACAACGGCACCGCGCCGGCCGCGCTGTACGCCACGCTCAGCAGCCAGAACCCCGGCCTGGTGCTGCTCGGCGACGCGCTCTTTGGCTCTGGCCTCGCTGACGACCTCCTCGCCAAGACGTTCCTCACCGACCGGGAGACGGTCGACAAGATAGGACTCAAGTTCCGGTCGTAGAACGCCGGCTGCCGGCGGATATAAGTTTCGTTCTCTATTTTTTATCCATGACATTTGCAATAAACATGCGCACGAATTACTCCGACAGTTTACCAGCAGAAATAGTCAAACAAAAGTCTTGTCCATGCCATTTTTTAAATTCGTTTAAAGGGCAAAGACTTAAAAACAAACATAAAAGAAGTACCTAAGCCCAATTTATAATTTTGCCAATGAATCGACCGAACTACCAAAAAAATGTTCAGAACTTATATCAGGAGCACTGTCCATCCATATTTTCAGCAGCCACGTTTTCATTTTAGAGAGCATCCAAACATCATCAAATCTATAACCACCGAGCTTCAAGATACTATAAAGTTTTCAAAACTATAAAGTTTGTTCCATCCAAACACTTCATGATGCTCAAAAACCAAAGTATTTTACAAAAACCATAGTATTCTTATAAAACTCTAAATTGCATCCAAACGGGGCCTTATATTCAAAATCAAATAAAGTGAGAGGGCATCACAGGTCTACATATCAAATTGCAGACATGCTTAAGTTTCGCTCGTTATAGCTACCAAAATGTTATATAACATCATCACCAGGTAGAAGTAGAATGTGTGTGGTGTGAGTGTGTTCTAAGAGTTTCTTTTCTTAATATTAAAGATTATGAGAAAAGACGAACTACTAATGCAGAAAGTGGGGCAATAATTAGCCATTACACTTACATGTAGAACGTCACCAGACTTAGACTTATATATTCAGATACAATGGTGACATGAGGTTATCCACCATACACGTGACAAAGATCTAGAAAGATTACCACAAAAAACTGGAAGACACGATGCTGTTTTATGGAGTGTGCACAAATTATTGCCTTCAGGTTCCATGATGGAAAAATGAAACACCAAAAAGGGTCTACAGTAGGTTATTTTGTCTTCTCAGTCCGGTTCATCACATCATGGTAATACAATAGAATGCACATTGGCTGCCCGTATATGCAGAAAAAGAACCAAAAGATCATATTGCCAACCTATTGAATATACGACATATTAGACAGGTTCCCACAAAAAAGACAATCCTAACTTATCAACTAAGGATTTCCTCAGAAAAAATAACAACTAAGGAAAATATGGCTCACCATTGTGTCATTGAATTTATTTTTGAGGTATGATGTTAATATGATGAGGGGAATCTGGTAAAAAGAGGAAAAGAAACATGGTGTCAGAACAGTTTTCTGTTTAGGAGACCACATGGATACAAGGAGCCATATTAGATGACTGATGTCTTCTGGTGGTCATAAGACCCCAGACTATATAGCAAATGAAAAAAAGAACTAGTAAAGAAAAAAAAAGAAATGAGTAAAGAAAAAAAAGAAATTTTGGATACTAATCCATACAGCATCTTGGTTGTATTAGATTTACCTGAAGCATGATTCCTAAGAAAGCCCAGAACTTGAGTATGTGGCAGGGAACAGCAACACATAACTGGTGTACAATTGTAAAGAAAATGTGTCATAATTTTATCAAAGAGACTGGATTATGAAATATAGAATTTTATATAGAGCACTTCATCCAAGTAATCTACAGCTGGTAAGTTTGAACAAAAGCATGTCGAAACTCGAAAGGACACATTTAAAAATAAAGAAGTATATAACTAATATATGCATATGAAGAGCGAAAAGGTAAATGAGTAAGTTACCTCATGAAGTACAGCAGAAACAAAGAACGCTATAAAAGAAGCAACTTCCTGCAACACCACAAATGACTCTTTGAACAGTAATAACAACAGCACAAAAGATTGGACTTAACAGAGTACAGCACCTCCAGTATAGGAACTAGATTGGAGGACAGTAGATCCATACAAAATTAAGCACATTCTTATTGCTCAATAAACTCAAATGATACTTTTACTGTTGGACTTACACATTTATGAGTACATGAACTTCAGTTTCACTGATGAGTGATGAACTAATTAGATTGTCCTAAACAGCATGGAGTAATTCTTATAGTTACTTTGAAAAAATTAGGTATTACAAAGCAGGCACTGACTGGTTAAGGGATCTACAAGGCACAAACTGTAATGAAGCTACAGTTTAGTCTGATATGCACTGGAAGCAACCCTGAGCAGAACATCTACACAAATATTATTTTACCTTTGATATACCATTTCGCATGCAAGGAAAATATATATGACGAACCATCCATTTATGCACAGGCTGTCAAAATGTGGACATTATTAGTCATAATATTTCAGCAAACGAAATTAATATAAAATTGATGGACCAACAAAGGTCATTGGAGAAGAATAAATCCATAAATTCATGGCATTATTCAACCTACTTGGAACATACAAATTAGAATAGTTCTGTGTACCAAAAGAGTCCAGATTTCATTGTTCTCAACAATTTTACAGTGACTTGCCATTTTTATTATGCAGTTGCTTTAAGATGATTACATCTAACCACAACTGTGTATACCATGTCTGGCAGTAAATTCTTGATGGAATTATTATTGCAAAGAAAGAAAAGGCATACCATGTTCCATTTTCTCCAGTACTGATCCCATCCAAGTACAGCAGCACAAGCAACAACAGCAAACAACACACACAACATCAGCTATTGCTACCTAGATTCCTTTTTATACTTGAAAAATAAAGTAATACTAGGTTGCAACAAACATGATAGTATTTCACCTCATCAATTGTTTTTGCATTCCACCAGTCTTTGTAGAATTCACGGTCACCAAATCGAAGAATCTCAGCAAGTATGTTTAACCTGTATAGATGAATAAGTTCAAAACGGCAAACATGCATATTTGAAAGAGCTGAAAAGGAAATAATTTTCTCCCAGAGCATGGTAGTTGTGAGAAGACACATAGATGACTGATGTCAGAATAATATCAGGATTGATCATCTATTTGAATTTGAATGAATACATAGAAAATATAATTTACCATAGATGGAAAAGGCAATAGAACATGCAAAGCCACAGGTAGACATTTGGTAATGAGAGCTTCAAAACAGTCTCTACAGCATCCAGTAATCCTCCCTTCAATGGATGTTGAGAGTTCACAACAATAGGATTTATGTACTGCAAGATTGTAAAATCAATAAAAGGTTAAGAAATGTATGAGGATATTCTACAAGATATATGGAGATACATAAACAGCTTACTTGTTCAATAATGAATCCTTGGAGACCAGTAAATATCAAGTATAGAATAACTTGACGAACCAGCCAACTTTTTCTAACATAAGGTGTTCGAGGATAACTTGGCTGCATGCAAAACGAAAGTAGTACATTTCTAAAATGTTACACCTTGCCAGCACCCTTTCTGCTGGTAACCAGAAATGGGCAGTCAAAAGGCAATAAAGAAATCATATATCTGCTTTAGATCAACATACATGATCAGAAAATTACCTGATAACAGAGAGTCGGAGCCAACATGAAGTATGTTAGACTCCCAAGAGTTGGAGCTTGTAAATTATCTATGTCAGACGTGGTTAGTTCATTATCAACCTAATAAAAAGGGTGTATTAACTTACAACAGTAAAATACATATAAAAAGAACATAAGCGGTAGTAATTGAGGTGATCATGCATCGGACCAGGTTGGACCTAGAACTCTCAACTCCTTACCTGAAGCCCAAAATATTAGTATTTTTTATATTTTCTTAAAAAAGTATCAACACGAATAGGACATATTATATTTTTAGTAACAATAGTTTTACGCATAACATATACAGATACCTGCATATTTTTGCATTTCATTTATGAACCCACGACCAAGCTAAGCCCAGCACCTTGGGCCAGAGAAGGCTGGACTACTATGAACATCTTTAAAAGTAACAAAGTACAAGGGAGTCAGGAGAGGGAGGAAACCCCAGTGATGAGAAGCAGCAGGTCCACCAGCAACATATCAATGTTCATTGTAAATGTTTTTTATGTTAAAATCCCTTTAGTGCATTAAGTGTCACAACTCCTAAAGAATTCTGAGAGAGTAGCAGAAGAATCACTAGAGTAGGTTAAAATATTTGCTAAGTGCTTGTTCAATTAAATCAAATTCTCATGGATAATTACTCAGATGTGTTTTGAAAACAAAAGGGACACCAAAAAGGATAAATGTCAATATCTTCTTCCATAAGGACTCTTACAAAAGAAAATCTGAGACCTACTTCAATCAAGTCAAAAGGATTGTAATCCCCTTGGATGGTATTTCAGATGTATTTATAAAACACAAAGAAAAACGAGGGCTGAATATTTGCTTCATTATGGCCAACTAATTGCATAATTGAAGTAGGAGCTTTAAAGCAAATATAAAACAAACGGAGGAGGAAACAATATATCACACAGTGTACCTTCTTGCCGCTTGTGATCAGTTTTCTTATATCATGGTTTGTATGTGCAAACGATACAAGCTTCAGCCAAACAATGCAGGCAATAAACATCAACACAAAGCCTGATAAAACTGCAGAATCACACCTGAACCCAGTTACAGAGTTTGGTGTTAACACAATGCAAAATGGCACGGTATTTGTACAAAAGCACTATTTTCCAGAAGTTACAAATGCAATTTGACATTTGAAGTGAACTTATGGTAGATTCATACGAACTAGACAGTATACTACATTTTATTCTGCTTCTACGTCCTTTCTTGATAAACAAGATGTCAATATCTTGATGCATAGCGAAGTGCATAATCAACCATATATCTCAAAGGTTATTACATATACTTACTTAAGAATCACGAGCACTGGATATACAATTTCAAATGTTGTAAGAAGGATGTGAAAACAGGTAGCAGCCTGAAAAAGAAAAGAACCACAAATCGATGGTTTATAAGCAAAATTTGGAGAAACAATACAAACAAAAGGTGTCTCACAACTGTTCCTATAAATGAAACTAATAATCCGTCGTCCATACACAATATGGACAAATGTATAAACTGTTAATGAGAACCTGGACACCAGAAAAAGTAAGCTTTATAGCAATGAGGTGTGTGCTTACAGCATCAGTAATGAGATTGTTGAATGCCAACTTTTCGACTGCAAATGCACCAAGGGGAAACACAGGTAGACTAAGGCTGAAAATATAAATTAGCTGATAAGTTTCGGAGATAAGAATCCATTGAAGAAGTGGACAATAGAGCAGTATTGACTATTACCAACACATTAGCAGTGGCCAGTCTCGCAATGATGTAGCATTAAACCAAAAGCCAGACCTTATTAATAAGCCATACTGCAAAAGGCATCAGAAAAAGACAGCTCAAATATGTTGAGAGGCAAAAGACCAATGGCATCAATTTGCTCAATCGAAAAAGTATGTCAAGAACCTTCATCAGGTTCTCAATAATGAGCCTGCTATTCACTGCAACCAGAACAACAATACATAGGTTGAAAAGGCCTGCATGACTCTGTCAAAAACCAAAAGAGAAGTATTAGCTAACAGGCGCTCAATCAGCTACATGGTAAAACAATATACTCTGATAAGACAGCACCAAAAAACACAAAAACATGAAGCGAAAATTAGAGGAAAAAAGAAAAGCATAGACACATAGGGCCCCTTTAGGCAGGAATTCCATAGGAATAGGAATCATACAGGAGGAATCAGTTCATTTTCACAGAAAAACATGAAAATTTCCCACGTTCCAAAGGGACCTCACTATGACCATACCATGTGAGCTGAAGCAGTGTTCGGCTGGGAAACTTCGGCTGGCTGGTTCCTTTTTTTTTTTTTCAGCCGGAGCAGTGTTTTTCTCTCACACAATACCAGCATAAACAGTGTTTTCGTACCAGCATGAACAGTACTTTCATACCAGCCGAACACTCCCAGCTCCCATGTACTGGATCCATTTGGAAAATGGCAGGTCATATATGATGTCAATAAAGGAGGTCACGTGATTTGAACTCACAGCTCCCAAAAAGGTTCCTTTTTCCACACTAATCAAGACATATCATGCCACTAATTAATTATGTCATCAAAAGGTTGGCGTACTAATAAAACAGAATGAACTGTGGGCAGCACGCTGTATGCAAGGTTCGAGCTTCTCACACGCATATGCAGCACGAAATGTTATTTCCCCTCCCAGATTCTGTGAAAAAAAGGCGACGCCTTTATCCCACATGCGTAGATGCACCTGGAAAACTCCCCCGCTATGATTAATTGGTTACACACCAGTTGAGAATCGTAACTGGTGAAATCAAACAAGCATGGTGAAGAAAGTTAAATCGGACGCAGGGAATGTGACAATTCGACGAACAGCTCACGCGGGCGCGCGGCAATCAAATGGGCCTCTTCTCTCACCTGCTTGAAGATAGCGTCGGAGCTCAGGGGGCTCTCCTTGGCTTTCCGGTGGACAGGCGCCGCGGCGCGGAACGTGAAAGCGGAGAAGTCCCCGCCCCGCCCCGGCCGCCGCCGGCGGACGAGGCGTCCCCGCCGTTGTCGCGGCGGCGGGACGAAGAGGGCTCCCCGGGGCCGGACTCGTCCCCGGAGTCTGCCGCGAAGCTGGCGCGTGCCGCCGCCGCGGCGCCGGAGCTCAGCCGGCGGCGCAACGCGGCCACGAAGCCCTGGGCAGCGGCAGCGCCGCGGGCGGGGCGCAGCGGGCGGCGGTGCACGGCCGGCGGCGGCGCGTCGTCGGAGTCCGTCATTGGAGCTGCTAGGGCTACGACGCTTGGTTGCTCTGTCTCCCCTTGCCTCTTCTCCGTGCGGGTGTTGCCGTGTTGGCCTCCCTCGATTCGGTGTGGACGAGGAGGCGACGGCGAGGCGACGGTGGCGGGTGCTGACTATTGTTACGTATCAGAGCAAACTGTTTTGTTTTATATATTATATTTAATTATTTAATTATTACGCGTCGAACCGTGAGGAGGGTGGCCCGGGCCCACGTGTCCATGTGACTGGCCGGATCACCGCAAGGTTCATCAGAAGTTAGGACGTGGGAATGGGATCGATTGCATCTTAAGAAAACCGGTTGCCAAAAAAAAAAGAAAATACAAATATATATAAAGAGACATGACATATATTAATAATCAAGCATTAGAAAGTTAGTGCCCGATTGGTATGGATTCATACACAACTTCACGAGCTATTTTCTAGCTTCACCCACCAATCGAGACATTGTCTCTCCGCTTCACGAGTGGAGGTCCTGGATTTTATGTTGAGACGAAGAGGAGAGAGATGTAAATAACTAGATTCGACCTGCTTCATATTGCACTGGTGGCCCCTGTGCACTCATGGTCTGCTTTGCCTCATGAAGAAGCCCTTGTGCGGGCACGGCCAGGACGATGGCACAAACGGCACGGGGACGAACACTGCGTAGCAGTGCATGGAGGGGCACAGGTGGCTTGCTGGCACATAGATGAGCGGAGGCGGCGTGGCTCCGCCAAGTTGCTGGGCGCGGCGTGTTCGCGTAGAGAGGCATGACGCATCCGGGACGTCTCTAGGCGGTGCATGTGCGAGCTGGCCGGGCCACGCGACACCATCAGGGCAGTCGAACTAACAGGCGGCGACTAGGGAGAGGAAGAGATGGGAGTAGGAGAAGGAAGGCACAGTCGACGCAGGGCAGAGAAGAGATAATATGGAGAGAAGAGAAATACAAAGAGAGAAAATAGAGACAAAAAATGAAAAACAAAAAAATATTATGGTATTTCACTCTTTTCAACCGTCCAAAGAAGTTGTTTTACCAAACAGATCATCAAAACAAATTCAGCTTCGCCGATAAAGTTGCTTTATGGAGCCAAAGCCAAAAAAGCACTTCAACGATGAAGATGAGTTGTATCAAACAGGCCCTTACTCACCACGTTCACTTTTAAAACATCTCCAACAAAACACTAAACCAACCTCTATATTATTTTTAGGGCTGAAATTCAAAGATAAGGTCACTAGCAGGATCTCTACTTCGGGCATTAAAACTAGGAGGCCCTCAAATCCCACTCTTGAGCTCATTCATAATAGGATTGGAGGGGTCCCCTAAATATGTTTTTCACCGTTGGAAGCCCCATATCCGTCCACTCCCTCTTTAGTTGCCACCGCCTTTTTAGCCACTGCCAGCCTCCCTCATCCTCGATGCAAGCTTCTTCCCGGCTTGGCTTCCTTCTCCTCTGGCGCGAACACCTCTTCCAATCATGCTGACGTGAACACCTCTTCCCCTGACACAAGCACATCTTCCCGCTTGCGGAGACCATCCCCAACATCCTCTCTGCAATCAAGCATGTTGTCCTAGCACGTGGACACTGTCCCTCGGTGTCCCCTCTCTAGAGTGGACACTGTCCCGGCACGACCTCCACACCTGATGCCCCCTCCTTCGATGCGACTTCCACCCGCCGATAAAATTAATGTTTTAGAGAGATATTTGCTTGCGGTACTCGATAATGCTCACCATATGATGCTTATTACATCATTGGTTGATGTTTAGTCAATATATATGAAATATAGTGTGGTAAAATATTAATGAGCACAAGAATATTTGTTCCCTCTTCATGCTTGGCTTGCTTAGATACGGTAGAAGACGAATTGGTGATGGGTTTCTCACTATTCGCGCGATATAGCATTTGCTTGTCCACTAATCAACATCGAATTGACAAATGAGCAAAAACTTGATCTATATTATATGATGAATTTGACTCGAGGACTGGCAAGGGGTTAGGTCATGGCAAGACGGGAGAGGTCTTGAATAACATAGCTTGCTCGACCGGCTAAGGAACGTATCTCTTTCATAGTGAGTTCGAGTGAACCCCGTACATATCACATGTCGCGGATGGGGATGGTAAGACAAGTAGCTTGTGGTGAACGGATAACCAGGTGGATTCGGCTCGGGGTGAGGCGCGGGGTAGCTAGAATAAGCTAGTACCTCGGGGCATCGCATACTGTTCATGGGCGATTTGGCCACACTTGTGAAAGGTTGGGGACTTGAGGCAACCCTTACTTATGCACGGGTTATGGAGGTTCGTCCTAGTCGTTCGTGTGGGTACAATTGTACACCTCTATAGAGTTTTCTTTGAATGCATGAAGTCTTCGGACGGATTAAATTGTTCTTACTCCTAGATTCAGAGCAGTTGTGGCGATGAAGGACACGTGGAAGATCAATGTCCATTTTATGCTTAATGCTCATATATGATATACTTTCTATGCTTATGTGTAGTTGATAGACAACATTTACTTTATGCACAAAATGCTATTTATGCAACCCAACTTTTATTCCTTACAAATGTTAAATGCATACTCCTTTGTTTATATATATATTCGATAGGTCCTGTGGAGTACAATCCTGTACTAACGGTGTTGTCGTTAAGTTGTTTTGCAAGTACCTAAAGGACATCAGTGACCATGTGTCATCCCGCCGATGCCGACAAAGTGGGTGAATGGCAAGAGCCGTTCAAGCTACGGTGACAACACCCATAAGCAAGACGACCACTAGTTATTAGTTAGAAATAATCCATAGCATAGAGCTTTCAAACTACACTTAGTGTAATTAATGTAGGATAATTAATTTTTTAATTCAACAAGACTTATGTTGATTTATGTAATCTTGATTTGTGGCGGCTATATTGATACGTACGCAACTGGGATCCCGTGTCTTGATGTATTGGAGATGTGACAGGCATCTCCCGGGGATCACCGAGGTTGATTTTCTTAGATCGGATCGGTCAAGAAGATGACACTCGATTTAGGTAAATGAATGTGGCGGATCCTTGCATTATAGATGCTTGTATAGCAAAATCTAGTCTGTTAGTGCATTTTCATCAGGTCTTGATCTTGCTTAGTGCTTCCTTTATGTGTTTTTGTGCTCTTAGATCATAATATTGTGCTCATATTCTCCATATAGACGAATGTATGGGTATTTATGGGCGTGTTCGCAAAAAAAAAAAGGTACGGTGCTGTTGCATGGAGCCATGGCACAGCCATTTTATGAACTCTTGCCAATCCGCCACTATGCCTACTCATATATTTACACAGCACACCCTGTCCCCTGTCATCAGCACAAAAAGTTCATTTCAATGTACAACGGGCGCGCAGAGCCATCCCTTCCCGCCAAATTCAAAACCACCATTTGCCGTGGCAGCCGCATCCGTGGCATCCGCAGCAGCGAGGCCACCACACCGTCGGCGACGACGATCCCAAACAGCACCCCAATTCGCACCACCCTGCTGCCGGGGCCTTGGCTGCCGACGCCGCCGGAGACTCAGTCGTCTCCTCCATCTCAACCGCAAGCCTGCATAATCATATCAAACTTTCGTTCGTCAGAACGGTGACGAAACGTGTTCGTTAATAACAAACCACACGCATTCATCCAAACGATCCATTGGGCTGCTTGGTCACGTACGTGGAGACGACGACAGAGTGCTTGTGCTTGCCCTCTCCGGAGACGCTCTCGGTGGTGGCGAACCTGACGGACTTCCTGGTCTTGCTGCCGCTGCCGCACCTGGCGCAGTCGTGCCTCACGCACAGCCCGCCTGAGCGCCCCGACGATTCCGACAAGGACGGCAGCCTCAGAGCCGCCGCGTCGCGGCCCAGGGACGGGAACCGGGGGAACCCGGCGGCGTCGTAGTAGAAGTCCGCGTATCGCGCGGTGAGGTCGGCGGCGGAGCTGCTGAGCTGGATGCTGAAGAGCGATTCGTTGGAGGTGGCGCTCCATTCGGCGGGGTTCGTCGACCGCGTCCGGAACATGGACGACGGGAGCCTCTTCGGGTCGTACGCAGCCGCGGCGGCGGCGCTGCCCTCGGCTTTCTGCCTGCCCTGCTGCGGCGGCATCATCGTCTGGACCGCCGGAGGCCGCGTCGTGCAGCAGGGCTCGAAGTCCAGGAACTCGTTGTTGTCCGCCGCCGCCGCGGCCGCGGCCGCGTCGCCGATGCCGGGCCCGAAGTCGGAGTCGTCGAGCGCCTCGATGTGGAAGAAGCTCTCGTAGGACGACGTGGAGGAGAAGGACGAGAGCTTGCCGAGGTCGTCGGGGCCGGACGCGGCGTAGGGGATGCTCTCGCACGAGAGCTTGTTGGACGCCGGCAGGTAGTTGGTCGTCGACGACGCGTATGAGAGCGCCGGCGACGCGGTGGGAGACGAGAAGGAGGTATTGCTGGAGAGCGTGCGCTCGTGGTGCTGGTGCATGGGCATGGGCTCGTCGCGGCCGCAGGTGCAGGGCATCTCCGTCGGCTTCAGCGCGGCTGCCCCGGCCGTCTCGGGCGTGGGCGTGGCACCGGAGCCCTGATCCGAGGGCGCCATTGGTGCTAGCGGCGGCCCGTGGTTACACCACTCGCGGCCGCAGCTCGCCGCCACGGGTCAAGTCCGCTGACGGCGCCACGGATCTGCGCGCGGCTCGAGGGGCCGAGGAATTTGGTGTCAGGAAATGTCGAAGATGATGATCAATCTTGAACGGGGAATGAAATGTCACGAGAGATGCATGGCAGATTACAAAGAAAAACAGCATACCAGCGAAGAACAGGGCGGGCTTGGACATGAAGCGAAGGGATAATGGCCGGAGCTCGGCAAAGATGCACGAAGCAATCAAGGAACGGAACTCCGACAAGGGGAAAAGAGGGCGGTGGGCTCGGTTTTATACGCTCGTACGCGAGAATGAGAGGGGATCGGAGAAAGGAGCGGGAGGAGGCACGACGACAGGTCATTTCGGCTGGAACCGACGCAGGCAGAGGCAGGCGACGAAATTAACCGAGCAACCGAAACCACGCGGAGTGGGTTCCATCCTATACCGAGCGATCGACCCAAAATAAGACTCATGGTCGGTGGCCGTGGCCGTGGCCGTAACGCCGGAAGGCAGAGGCAGTCAGGCAGATCACCACGCGTGGCGTCATGAGATGTAATTTGGCGAGGTAAATGTACGTGACTCACTGTTACGTTCACTGCCAAAAACAAATCATCCTTGGTTCCATTCAATTACACCGAAACAAAATGTTTTCTCCATTCAATTGCTTAGCAACATGTTCCGGATGCTAACCTGAGCATTCCAGGATTCAGATTACACAAATGCAAAGTCATACGGTTTCTATTAACAACATTTTCAGGACTCAAGGCTGATGCGTGCCTTTGACTAAAGAATGATGAACGAATGTCAAGATGATTTGATGCTTTCCTGGTTATGTTTTTATTAATTCATATATGCTTAATTATGCTAATGGCTAATGGGCAGCGTTGTGTGGAAAGACATGTCTTGTGATGCGGTGGTCAGTGACAAAAGGTGAAGGTTCCGATGGAACAAGAATGATGAAGGGCGAGTGAGGAAGCTTGGGACCCATGGACTGAGTACATAGTAAAGAGTTGATAAATACATCATCGACCAAGTCACGGACGAGGAAGATGGCGTGGAGCGCTTGACGGAGGTAAGACGTGCGTCTACATTAAAAGGATGAAGATAATTAACGTTGGTAAGTCAAGAGGAAGGCAAACACATGTCCTTAGCAGAGATTGGGCATGCCTCGACATCATGAGCCACACTTTTTGCAGAGTATGCAAGAGGGTTTGCCTGTTTGGTCCTAACACAGCCAGGGCATTGACGTTTTGGTGGTTGGAGCCACAAAACTAAAGTGACGAGTGGGAGGATCATTGCGAAGCTTGCATCAAGGTAAAAAGCGAGGTCGTGAAGTGTCAGTGTTTTGTAGACGGACTAGTGAATTTATACGAATATCGCGCTGCTCTAGAAAGACGATGGTAGCATCCAAAAGACATGAGGAGTTATACTGCTTCAGGCCGGAGCCCTACGTCCAGTCTCAGAGATGATCGAGTGCGTGTTCCTCGCTTGAATTGTAATGCCCTAGAGTCCAAACGGCTTACATCCACTCTGCACGCTGAGCGAACCACACCTACCACCATCCCACTTACGCTTTCGTCCTCGCTTCGCGTAAAAGGATTAATCCGGAGATGGTGGGATGGACTCTAGAAGCCTTATATGTTGGTCTATCCACCTTTAACATCCATGGTGGGACTAAACTATCTACAATATCTTATATGTTGGTTTATCCCCCTTTAACATCTAAGGTGGGACTAAACTATCCACAATATCTCTTTAACATGTACATGGCCCACTATGGGCTAAATTTCAAACTGGGCCGGATGTCACATACACCCCCTAAAAGGAATTGACGTCCTCGTCAGCCCAACACACCCACACCCGGACAAACGATGACCAGGAACGTTCCCTCTTAGCACACGCGACCGTGCGTCCAGTGCCGACACATGTGCCATGCCGTGCACCCCGCAGGACCTACATGCGCAATGACCCCCATGTCTACGCACCTGACCCGCACGCATCCGTGGCCGCGAAGGTAGGCTCTGATACCATTTGTAACGCTCCAGAGTCCAAATGGCTCAGATCCACTCTGCACGTCGAGCGAACCACACCTACCACCATCTCACTTAACCCGGGGATGGTGGGATGGACTCTAGAACCCTTATATATTGGTCTATCCCACCTTTAACATTCAAGGTGGAACTAAACTATCCACAATATCTTATATGTTGGTCTATCCCACCTTTAACATCCAAGGCGGGACTAAACAATCCATACTATCTCATTAATATGCACATGAGCTACTATGGGCTAAATTCTAAATTGGGTCGGATGTCACATATGTTGGTCTATCCCACCTTTAACAAACAAGGTGGGACTAAACTCTCCACAATATCTCATTAACATGCACATGGGCCACTATGGGCCAAATTTCAAACTGGGCCGGATGTCACATACACTATGTTAGTCCATCCCACCATCCCTGGGGTAATCCTTTTACGTGAAGCGAGGACGAAAGCATAAGTGGGATGGTGGTAGGTGTGGTTCGCTCAGCGTGTAGAGTGGATTTAAGCCGTTTGGACTCTTGGGCGTTACATGAATGCTCTGAAATTCTTACAATGGGGGATGCAAGAATGGTGGAAGAGGTAGGAGAGCTAAAGCTAGGAGATGGACTGCCCGAATGAGAGCTTTGAGTGTTTGATCATGTCTAGGAAGGGTGCCCTAGCTACCCTTAAATAGAGTCCGAGGCTTGGTCACACACAAAAAGGAGGCTCTCCTGACCGAGGGGTCGTGAGCCTAAGGGAGGGAGCCTAGCTAACTTGGCTTGCAAGTAACACCATCTTGTTGTGCACGTCTGGGTGTGGTTGTCGTCATGGTCTTGTCACTACTAGAAATATCCACTTCTATGATGAAAATGTGTGGGGATATAACCCCCGATACCAGCAGGGCTGTACATGGGCTGAGCTGCTAGGGGAGGTCTAGCCCACAAGACTGCGCATGGGCCACGCCACTAGTGGATGCCCATCCTACAAGACGACGCCATGCGAAGGACGATACATGTCGGTGTGCCTCGCAAGACTACGTGAAGATCTTCGGTGATCTAGGGAACCTACTTGGATATGCTAGATCCCATAATATCTATAACTTTCTATCTTGTAAAACCAATCAGGATAGAAACAATCGATCTGTAACCCTACCTCCGAGCTATATAAGGTGGGTAGGGACCCCCTCATTTTCATCTGATCATACGCAATACAACCCACTAAAAGACACATGACATAGGGTATTACGCCAAGTCGGCGGCCTAAACCTGTCTAATCGTTGTCTCTTACGTTCTGTGTCACCATCCGGTTCCCTCACAGGCGCATCCGATGATTCATCTACTATCGTGGGCATACCTCTCGGTAGACTGCCAACCAGATTTCGTTGATAGTGGCGCAGCCAGGTAGGGTGTGTGTGTGTCTGAATTCATGGCGAACCAGATGGTCACCTTCCTGAGCTCCATGGCCTTTCTTGAGCCATGCCAGATCTTCATGGTCGGATCCATGACCTGGGTCATCGGCCCCGACGACAACAGGGAGATCATGGAGGCGGTGTAGGATCACCCTGCACCGATCGCGCCAACACTTGGAACAACATCTCCGATCCTGGCACCCCGCCGCTAGGTTAGGAGATTCATCAGTAATGATGATCTGATCGCATCCAACGATCGGGTCACAGACCTCTTAGAGGAATGTTATCTCCTTGTGGATTTGGTCTTAGATCAATCTAGAGCGAGTGATGAATTTCCCATACTCCAAGATCATCAAGGCGCTGCAACCGAGCGACCTACTTGGCCACATCGTTCAAGGTGGCTAGATTTCGATATGGTGATCACGGCCGCTCCAGAGGGGCGCACGGCACGGCACCGACCACTTCCCGCTATCAGCCTATGTTTGGCCAACTACGAGGCCCCGATGGAGGACCCGCCGAAGCCCTATGCCTTTGGGCTGGATGGTGCAGGATCTGCGTACCAGAACGCCATCCACCATCTCTTTGTCGACCACATCGAGCGCGACCACATCACCGACCTATACATGATTGACCCGACTGACTCTGGTCAGCCCGCGCCCATGGTCAACATGGTGGCTGTCCGACCGAATCTCTCCATAACATTCTGAACGAGAGCCCCGATGATTATTCCGAGGGCTCAACCAAGACTGTATCAAGCTGCCCTACTTTCCCTCCGGGGTTCGGAGGCATGATTTTCCACATCACCTACGATAGCGTCACCAAGGACGGCAAAACCATGAAGAGCGTGAAGCTCGTCTAGCGAAGAACGCCGATCACCAACGTCACCGAGATGCAAAAGCAGCCCAAGGGGCTGACGAGGATGGTCGCAGCCCGCCCCGCCATCAACATAATCTAGAGGAGACATTTGACATGGTGGGCGACTAGCCAGTCTACCAGACTCCAAGCGCTAATCTAGCCATCACTTTCAACGAGCTCAACAAACTCCCTCACACTCCAGAGGTCAAGAAGGTCCGAGCACATATCATAGCAGCGCAAGTCCATGTCACGCCCATCGAAGTTCCTCCGCCCCACGGACGGAAGGCCACGCCCACCAGGGCCTCCGACCTTAGGCTGGAGGTCCCTACCTATATAGAGGATCTAGAGGCAACTATGAAGCTCATTCACACCACGACGGAGGTCAATCAACCCATCCCTCGTGACCTTCATGACCACATCAACGCCGGCACAGATGTCCATGGCCGCATCGAAAATAGTAGGTCCACATGCTATGAAGTAGAGATGGAGCATCGCTAGCATTTCGACGCTAAACATGAGGGATTTGTTGCTCGTCAAGCGCCACTTCATGGAAAGACTTCGAGCCATCCGGTGGCCTATGGGTTTCAAGGTTCTTGGTGTTAACACCTATGATGGAAAGGCCAACCCCGCTCAGTGGCTAACTCTATACGAGATCACCATGAGAGCCGTAGGC